CGAATCGGTGCGATATTGACCGAGATCGTACATTTTTTGTTTATTGTTTTTTCTCAATATGAAAAATCATGTGATATAATGTCATTTCGACTATTTCGCGACTTTAGCCTTCAATGGTCGAAATTATTTCGACCATTTCGACCATTTCGGATATCCGAAATGATCCATTTCGACTTTATGTATAGTCTTATCATAGTCAAAAAGAAGGTGTCAATCGAAAAAAAAGGGTTGAGAACATGATGCCTCAATTCCATAAACTTTTAAAATAATACAAACCTTAAATAGGTTTTAGAAATACCTTATACTATATGAGATGAAGCTACAAATGATTTGCTTAAAAGATATTCTTCTAATTTTACTGCAAATTATAAAAAATTTAATATGAAATTTCATTCTAAAAAAGATTCTTAGCAGTCTATTGTAATGCTTTTTAAATACTAAGGCAAATCTCGTGGTGAATATACATTTCTTCATAAAATTAAATCAGCAGAGCCTCTTTCAGAATAACTTGAGTATGATAGTCATCTTGTAGTAAATCAACTAGGTGAATTTTATATTTGTATACCTTAACCACTTGAAATAAGGACTGAAAACTAAGATCCTTTATTTTCAGAAGTACAAGAAAAGGTTTTTATTTATTTTGATTTATTTAAAATAACAAAATGAAAAATTAAACTCTAAGAAAATTAATTTATATATTTAATAATTTAATAGGAAGGTTCAGGAGTAATTACTTTAGATCCAGGTGTACATACTTTTATGACTGGTTATGATCCAAGTGAAATTACTATTGAATAAGATAAAAATGACATTGGTTGAGTTTATCAATTAGGTTATATATATGGGAGGCAGTCAGTAGAAAAGGGGGAAATCCAAATTTTGGTCAAAATTTTTTTAATTAGTTCACTTCACTGATCATAGTCATGTAAACAAAATTAGCTTAGTAACTAAAATTACTAAAATTTTCAGATTTCCCCCTTTTTTACTGACCACCTCCCATATGATAAACTCTAAAGCAAGCGTGATCAAATTCATGAAAAAAGAAATAAGTGAAAACGTTACAGGTAAAGTTTATTTATTTATTATTAATTATTTATTTAATATTTATTTATAATTTTTAAAATGTATTTACTACTTTAATTTTAGATTATATTATGTTATGTTACGAATTTACATGAATGACTATCATTATAAGCTAGCTAAATAGCTTTGTGAAAATTATTGTATAGTATTACTACTTGAATTTTACACTTAAGGAATAATTCAATGTGGTCAATGATGTATTAGTTCTAAAACTGCTCGAGTCATGTATACATAGTTACATTATCACTTTCAATAGCATTTAATCTATAAAGCACGCGAGTATCTATAGTGTTAAGTTGTAATTTATACAGAAGAATATGCAAGTAAAACTTGTAAATTCTGTGATTATATTCATAAAAAGCTAGGTAAATCTAAGATGTTTTGCTGTTCCCAATGTAAAACAAACCTTGATAAAGATATTAATAGTACTTGCAATATTCTTCTTTGATATCTTACAAAAAGAAGTCAACTTAGGCTGACGCAGGAGCTTATTCCCTTACAGGACTTATTATTACCTAATTTAGACTTTGCTTAATGTGAAATTTTATTAGTAAAGTATTATTAAGAAAATAGTAATTCGGGTTCTAAGAATTTCTTAATAAAATTTTGATTTCAAATTTTGATTATAAGCTAAATTTATTCAGAACTTGATTTTCTTAGCAACTTAGACATATGGAATCCTTATAATTGAAAAAAGGAAACTACTAGAAAAAATAAAAAATGAATTAACGTTAAATCTGAAATCATATTTAATATATAAATGTAATATAGAATTTTTTAATAGTTTGCCTTTTTTTATTATAAAAATCTCATACATAATCCTTTACTAAAAAAAAAGATGTAATATTTTTTTCAAAATTAATTTATTGATATACAGTTTTTTACATTAATATGTTATTTGTTCTTTTCTGGTTTAGTGATCTTTACTTAAATAAACTGAAGTTTCAAGATTTTTTAATTAATTTATATATATTAAAATATATTTTATTAAGTTTTTATAAATTTTAAAGTATTTTTAAAAAATTTTCTTTTATTGTTTTATATTCTTCTTTTTTTTATTTATTTATCTAATATTTTATTATTTAATAATTTATTACAATCATTCCTCTCAATAGTCATCTTCTATATAATTATATCACTTTTTAGTCATATTATTTTAATTCTGATTTTTTAAATAATTATAATAAATATAATAAATATAATAAAATTGGCTTATATATAATCATATCAAATCATATCCCTTTATATAATCATAATTAATTATATTAATATTAATTTTATTATATAAATAGTATTTAAAATATCTAAAAAAAGAATAATCTTAGTCAATATTGCTTCATTTTTTATGAAAAAAATCATTATTTAATTTCTTATAACTAGATAAATCTAATAAACTAATTAATATATATTGATTTTTTATTAGCTAATCATAAGATAATTATGATTGAATTTTGAAATCAGGTTTCTTTAAGTAGAATTTATTGTTAAATTGATTAATTTTAATTGTTATTGTGATATTAATTAATAAAATCCTATCCCTAATTTTAATCTTAACCTAATTTTAATCCTAACCTATTTCTAATCATCATCTCTTGATTTGATCTTAAGTTTTAAATGATAAATTGATATAAATTTCTGGTATTTTGTATTTTAATCTGAAAGTCCTTATACTCATTATATTTAAAATAACAGTTTTTATAATTAAAAAAAATAGCGTAAAAAAATAGAATATAAAAAATCAAAATAAACTTTATGTAATTTTAAATAATAAAACAATTGCATAAATAATTATATAATAATTACATAATAAATATTGATTTACATGATATTTATTTTGAATATTAAATCCTATAAGTAATAATAATAAAATTTTTAAATAAATTAAAACTAAAAAATTTATTATTTTATTTTTTATATATATAATGAAAATTTAACCAATAAAAATTTGTTGATAAATTAATAAAACTTAAATTTAAATTATATAAATAAATTAGTTAATTTTAATTATAATATTAATTTAAATAAAAAATTTAAAAATAATATATAAAATGAGAAAGATTAATAAAATTTTTTTATCATATTAAATACAGTATATAAATCTGAAGAATATAATTATTATGTTATATTATTATAAATTAAAGCAAACTAGTATTTATACAATTATATATTTGAAATAATATTAAAAGTTAAAAATAATAAATAAATCATAATTTAATTGAGACAATGTGAATAAAAAATATTTTACAATAATTTTTTTGAAACTGAATTTTTTTGTGAAAAATAGTGTATACAAAATTTTTTTTTGATTGCCTTCACCAAGAGAACAAGTTTGCAGTCAAGTATTATGAATGCAGTTCACACTCAAATCGCAGTCAAATAAATTCAAAGGAATGATAGTAGCATTAGTATTTCATACATTTCACACCCAATTTCAGACTCAAATAATTCTCTTCAAACCTTCCTTTATTTAACAATGTAACAATTTTCAATCCATGACCCCTATTTTCTTCCCTTACCTCCTCTTCTTCTCAGGTGAGAAATATAAATTTTCCAACATTCAAATCGTCATAATTACTTATCAAACGTGAAGAGTTTTGATAGAGAGCATTAAAACATCTTTTCATAAATTGCATCTGGCAACCAACAATGCATATAAGAGGCCTTCAGCGGTTTCTAAGATTTCTTACAAATAATCGTCATAGAGGACATAGAGGAGGTATCCAGCGAGATGAAATGCCGCTTGACTGGACGAACTTGAATTATTTGAACTATAGGACTATTGATAATGTCTCTGTTTCTAATATTTATACGATCCATCAATCAGCTGTTTTTTTATCAATCGCTATTATTTCTTTATACCAATTGCTGATAATTTTTTTTTTTGGTCTTTCAAGTTAATAACTATCAAATTAATTCCGTGTTGTTTTCGAGTCCTTCAATCGCTTAGACTTTGTAATTAATTATTTAATGTATAATTTTTGTGTATAAATCAAAAAATAAGCTTGAAAATAGAAGTGCCAAATTATAAGCATTTAAGTTTCGCACGTGATTGATATTTTTGGACGTATCGAAAGGGAAAAATCACGTTCCCTCAGATATAATAATACTGACTTAAGCAAGGGAATTTGTTCTTTAAACAAAATATTTAATACACGATAAATAATAATTATAGCATCCTATGTAAAATTTATGTCCCAACACCTTGGGATTGCCGACTACTCTTTTAAGACTGCTCATTTTTGACGTCTTTATTTTTTTATTTATTTATTAACGATAAAATTTGACGAGATTTTTTTTTTTTTTTTAGCAAAATTATTCTTAAAGTGGTTTTCTATATTAACTGGCATGATGTTGAAATTCTATCGCTCCCATGATTTATCGTTTTTTTTCCATGATTAAACAAAATTCAGTCACCATTAATTGTAAATTGATAATTAAAAAATTAATTCGTTTTTTTAAAATTAGATTTTGAACTTCAATTTGAAATATATATAATATATATACAGTATATATATTATGAAATGTAAATAATTTAACATCCTTCCCAGGTAATCGATATACGATCTTGAGATCCGTCACCGAGAGCCTAAATAAACGAGTTAGCAAAAATTGTAATATCTTGAAGTATATTTAGTCTTATAAAACTTACATTAAAGGCGGCTGGGGAAATGTCAATATCGCCAAAATTACATTTAGGACACTAATTGATGATCAAAAAATATAATAATTTTAATGAAAAATAAAATAACTTATTAACGGGAACAATTTTCATACCTTGTCCACAATTTTGATTTTGACGCTTCCTTTTGGCCTGGTGATGTTTACGCACTTACCGCATACAGGCGCATTATTCGGATTAGCATACACACCAAATTGTTGAGCGTTCTAGATTGAATTAAAATAGAATGATTTGACATGGATCACATAAAAAATCGGTTAAATAATACTTACCATTGCACCAATAAATTCGTCAGCCAGATTAAACTTGCCACACGCTCCTATGCCAACTCCTGGATCTAATAATTACATTAAAAACAGGTTAAAAAACATTTTTTAAACGTAAAAATTTTATTCATATAATTTCTTTACCATAAACTGTTCCATCTCCCTTTCCATTCATTTGAAGTCCGGGACTTCCTCGGTCTGACGAATTATTTTTAGATTTAGCAAAAGCTCCGATGGCAGCGAAAATTATTATAATTAATATTATTATAAATATTAGAGATAATATAATTGATAATTTGTATTTATTAATACGAGGATATTTATTCTTTAACCATTGATTGAATTTCGCTATTGGAGTTTTCCTTTTAATTACAAGAGGTTCAGGTAAATTTGGTAAATCTTTATCTAATATTATTACCCCCTTTTTTTGAGATTCCGTAGATTTTCTTGGTGGTGGACCATCACCTTCCCATTCTTCTTCTACAATTTCGATAAATTCACCTTTTTCATCATCGTATATGGTATATCGGTGCACTTTAACTAATTGAGATTCGGATTTTTTTGTTTCCGAGCGAGTCAAGAATGAAAGTGATCTTTGTAATATTGAATTTGATTTATTTGATTTTTCTTTTCCTACAACCGTTGAAATAACGGATGGACTTGACGATAAAGTCGGAATTTCAACTTTTACATTTTCTATTGAAGGTATATCAATTTTTGTTTGATCTTCTTCCAATGGAAGAGTTACAAGTGTATCTACCGAGGAATTTGATGAAATTTTTGTGTTAATCGAAGGAGTTGATAGCGTTTCCCTTAAATAAAATGAACTTGCTGCTATAGCTACATCAGGCCTTTTAAAAGAACTTGAATTTTCGTTGCTCATGCTTGTAATTTTATGACTATATAACGTCGTATTTTTTATTTATTATTTTTTTTGTTTGTTTTCCTTTATTTAATTTTTTTCCCGAAAATCTTCAACCTTCTCATTAAAATTTATTGACGTTTTTAACTTTGAATCTATTGGTCATTAAAAAATTGTTGTTGTAGTAATGCAAAAAAAAAGGAATAAATTTTTTGATTTAAAAATTATTTTTAAAATGCATAAGAAATAAAAAGAAAGACCTTTTTTTTACCTTCACATACGCAATAATCACTTTCGAATATATATATATATATATATATCCCGAGATTAATTTAAATACAATATACATGCGCGACAAATTTAAATCTCGTGAAGTCTTGAGTTAATGCAATTAATATGTTATATGACACCAATCAAATTAGATGTTCATCATCTGTAATGCGAAGTCAAATCAAAGTAGATTGTGCACCTCCTGCATAATATATATATATATAGTTACAATAGTTACAATTAACCGAAGGAATTAAATCTTGAATCACTTGCAGTTGACAAAATTTTAATTTTAATGTAATTTATGAACAAGCATTTAATAACAAAAACAAACCACCCAAAAATAAATAGGCGCAGTAAATAAACAAATAAAACTGACTTTCTTCCAAATATTTATACAAATTTACTTTTTTTAAGATGTATGATGTTTGTTAAACTTTATTTACGATATCTATTTTAAAAGAAATTATAATTCTCTACAGAATGAACGAGTATTTTCAAGATATCATTTTTATAAATAATTTATTGACAATAATTCTCAAATTTGACATAATTTCGGCCATTCACCATATGTGAAGGGTCTTCCTAAGTTGTTTGTAAAGTTTCAAAATTTGTTAGCTCAAACATAAAAACCACGTAGGAAAGTTCTCGCTAAAAACTGGTCAGGGATATTTCGTTTGATACTTTAATATATTGTTTATTTTTGAATTTTTATTTATGCAATACATGCAATACAAACTCTTTTTTACTGATTCGAATCATCACACAAAGCCATGAGTGTAATATTTATATATGCATTATGCAGCCAACAGTAGTATAAAGAAACTTTTTTTGTCTTGTCCATAGAAAAAGATGAGTTTTTGAAAATAATCTAACGTTATCGATCCTGTTTTCAAGACGAGATTAGGAATTTTACATTTCAAGATAATGAGGACGTAATTTTGTTAAACGAAATAGAAGATACTGTTGTAGAGTACTGACCTGAAGATGGTCCTTTTGAATTTTTATTTTACAGTAAATATAACGTGGAATTTTTAAAACGTTTTTATAAGAAGATTTTTTTTATTAGAAATGAAGAAATAATTCGATCACAGTTTAAAAACTACACTGCAACACCTATTACCTATAAAATTACAAACTGGTAACAGGGACTATTGTTAAATCTAAAATAAGTGTAACAACATTTTTTAAGCAGCACATCAGGATATTTTTTTGTGTTATGCAATATGGACCATATATAGTCCTTCGTTTCGCTCTGGACTAATAATCATTAATGATATAGACTTATTTTACCACACTTCCCTCTTCAACGAATGAATATAAATCAAAAATTTTAATTTCCACAATCTTATTTTTACAAAAAAAAAATAAATGCTTTGGGTTGCTAATATTATTGAGGAGAAATTAAAAATAATTAAATTGCTTTTACCAAATTATTTAATGATTAAATTGAGTGCTCTTTCAGTTAAAATAAAAATATAAATACTTTTACTACAGAATTTTGTTCAACTTCAATCAAAGTATCATAATATCCATCATCATCTAAAATATCAAAAAAAAATTGGGTTATCTGAGAAATTTTGCAGAAAAACTAAATGTTACATTAGACTATTGACGGTAGTTCTAAATTATCCAAAGTTTCTGCTAATAGTTTTCGATTTTTTTTATAAAGGACTATTCTAAAATAATTGTCGAATGAACAATAATGAAGAAGTTTAAGTTTTATTAAGTTATTTTCTATCACTAGATGATTATGGTATTAGATAAATCAAATTTCATTTTCATCTACCTGGTATACAATAATTCTTGATCTTTTTTAGCCTGATAACCAAAGACTGTCATATTCGTAAACCTTTTAATTATTTCTTCTTCTTCTTCTTCAGTTAATTTGAGTAAGATTGTTTAAATACAATTAGCTTTAGCTTCATGAAGTCTTTCATTCTTATCTTTAGTCACACTTAACTTAAATTATAAACTTATATATTTGCTGATACAAGTTTCTGAGCCAAAAATACTGGATTATTAGCCTGAGATTTTTTTACTTTTAGAGCAAAGTTTTGCTTTAACCATCTGATTTGTGTTTCTTATTTGCCCAATTGAAAATCTTATCATTAACAAGTTTTAGTAAAATATTGAAAAAAAAATATATGTAATTATGATATATGATATATATATAATTAGACAAATAAAATTTATCTGATATAAAAAAGACATTATTTTTTCTTTTATTAGAATTAATATTTCTAGCATTAATTTCTTTGGAAGTTTTACTATTTAAGTAAAACAACTGCTTATTTTCAAAAAACATAATTTTAAATATTACTAAAGATGAAAACCATAATTAATATATTACAACTTTTAATGTTGTAACATATGTTGCAATTAGTTTTGTCCTATATATGTTGCAACTTATAATGTTGTAATGTACGTTGCAATTAATTTTAGCTTATGTTACAACACATTATAAATTTGAAATTAATTGCTGCACCATCTTTATATATTACAGATTTTTTTTCAACTTCAACTATTATAATACCACTAAAAAATAATCAACCTAAATTAAAATTTATTAATAAATATTAAATTAATAAGTAATTTTCAATAAATTTATAAATTACCTAGTTGTGATTCTTTTTTTATACTAAAAGTAAAGTAAAATTATAACGATAAACCCTTTATCTTTAATTAGCATATAAATTAATATATATATTATCTAAAAATATATAAATATGGTATTATGTTTTGTTTATAATATAAATCAAGTATTTATAAAGTTGAATTAGGAAATCTTTCATTTGCATAAAGGTATAAATGCTTTAATTTCTTAATCTATTAAAAATGGATTCACAAAATTTTATAAAGTCAGAAAAATTCTTTCCATAAATTTTCAATTTTTGTTTATAAGTATTAAAAATAGGGATTGGAATCGATTTAACCAAAATTGAATTAATCAAAAATCGAATTGTATCTAATAGAATAGATTAATTGAATCTAAGAATTAAATCTTAATAAATTAAATTATTTTATATTTTGACATAGCAAAATATATCATTTTATTTTTGTAATTGTGTTTTAGTAAAAAAAATAATATCAGAATTATCAGAATTGTTAACATTAATTATCAACATATGATGATCAACGTAAATATTATAAATTAATAATGTTGTTTATAAAATGTTATTTATAAAATTTATTTTCATTTTTTTCTCACATTTACAAAAAAAACATGATTACTACTATGCAAATAATTATAAACATTATAAACAATTGACTAAAGAAGTAAAAAGATAGAGATTAGTATAAGAAGAAGAGAATGATACTGATTCTGATTATAAATCAAATTTATTTGAATCAGAACAAGAAGTTAGTGACCAAACTATATCTGATAATGAGATAGTTAATGTAATTAATATAACTTATGGTAATGATGTAAATACTAACATCAGTAAAAATATTTTTAAAAAAAAAGCCTTCTAATAAAAATTACAAGACCTAAAACAAGTTAGGTATGAAAATTCTTTAAAGAAACTGATGATAATACTAAAGTTATTTGTCAAATTGAAAAATGCTTAAATGGTATGATTCTCCAAGCTTAATAAAAATACACTTATCAGATACACATCATATTACTGAAAGTATTGCAGCAAGTTATCTGGAAGTATTACAAAAAGGTGATCATAATCTTATTAGTAATATAATTAAAGAAGAAAATTCTAAGTCATATTTTATTCTAAACAAGAATCATTAACTAAAAATGTGATTGGATTTGTTATTAGTATAGTGCAACCTTTGAGTATTGTAAAGATAAAGATTTTATTAAAATGATTAATGGATTTGATCTATATTATAAGGTTCCTTATTCTAAAACTCTTAAAGATCAAATTTCATTAGCAAAATAAGCAGGAATAGATAAAGTTAAGAATCAACTTTTACAATTTGAAAGTATTTCTTTAACATTGGATGATTGAAGTTCATTTGCACATATATCTTATTTAATTATTACAGCACATTAAGTAACATTTAAATTTGAATTATATGAATTACTTCTTAATATAAAAGAACTGCTATATCCACATGGTATAACTTAGATTCAGAAGCATTTAGTTAATCTGTTTAATATAATGAAAGCATGTGGTAATATAAATATTGGTGAAAGAATTCCTTGTACTGTTTATATATTATAATTAAGTATTGGAAAAGGATTGAATATAGCAAAAGTATTAATTAACAAGTATAAATATCTTATTGCTTTTTTAACAAATAATAAAAAAAAACAACAATTAAACGAATCACAAGTTTATTTGTATTAGCTACAACAATTACAAAAAAATGAGAAAGAATTAGAAAAAGAAGCTGAAAAACTTGTTTTTCTTGATATAGTAAAAGCTAATAATACTTGCTAGAATTCAATATTATTATTCTTAAACCAGCAATTTTAATGTTAAAAACTTCTTTATAATAGAAGTTCACATGTTTGTAAAGAGGGTAAAAAAATTGGAAGAATTATATCCAACTGCATATGAATAGAAAATAATTAAAGAAATAGTAGAAATTTTAAGTCCTTTTGTAACAAGACTTTTAAGTGATGCAACTAAAGATAGTTCCAATAATTATTTTTAAAATTTTTAACTAGTTGCAACTATTTATGAATTTTTATATTAAAATAAATTTATAAGGAGTTGCAACTTACTGAGTTGCAACTTCTTAATTACTGTACCATCTTTAGGTACAATATATCCAACTATTGGTTTAACTTATCCAAGTTTATGTAATTTAAAAAAAATTCATGAAATTGAATTTACCAAATGGAAACTGATATAGCAGAAAATTGTAGAAAAGTAATTTAGAAAGATTTACAATATTTACAATCAAGATGAAAATTTTCTCAAAAACTTTGTTTAAAAGGATCATTTCTTGATTCTTATTTTAAAAGTTTAGACTTTGTCTCTCAAAGAATATGTAAAGAAATTATTAATCAATTGCTTAAAGAAAGTTTAACTTCTAATATTTCTGTAAGATCTAATAAAAGTTAGAAAAAAAATAAAAGAAATGTAACTCTAATAAAAAATAAAATCTAACATTACTTTAATTTACTAGAATTGCCAACTCTTGAGAAGTATGATTCCTTTGCATAATAGATAACAAATAAAGCTCAGTATCCTATATTATATAAAATAGCAATGAAGTATCTTTTCATTCTGTTCACCACTGTACCATCAAAAAGACTTTTTTTTGACACTAATAATTTAGTTACTCCTCAAAGAAATAGCTTATTATTAATAAAATTATGTTTTTAAAAGAAATAAGTATTATATAAACATATTTGAAATGAAAAAATAATTTATTAAATTGGAAGTGAATTTTAAATGATTTTTTGATAATTTTGTATTAAGCAATTTAATATCTAAATAAATAAATTTATTATAAAATGATTTTAAAATTTTGTGTTGTGAGATCCATGAAATTGCTATACTATGAATTCATAAAAAAATAATTGGCATTGCAAAATTATTATACACAAATTCAATTAAGATTCAATTAATCAAAATCAAAAATTGAATTGTTAAATCGAATTAGTATTAATTAGGGAAAATTTAGAAGCAATATATGGGATAATTATACTTATAAGGGAATAGAGTATAAACAAATCTATAAAATAAAGAAAATAATTGTTAAAAATGTCAAAAAAATGAATAAAATCATAATTAAGTTCCTAAATTAAGAAAAAAAATAAGAAACTATATAAATTCCATCCATTTTTATACATTAAAATCAATAAAAAATGTTTCTTAAAAAAATCACTCTCACTAAAATTCAAAAGTAAGACTTTTGTAAATATATTTGTGATAATAGCAAAAAAACTCAAGCTCAGTATATTGATTGGATTGAAGAATAGTAAGGCCTTAAAGTTAGCAAAAGTACCATTACTCGTATTCTACAAATAGCAGATAAGTGACTAAATTTAGAAATTATCAGCTCAAATACAAAGCGGCAGTGATATACATTTCCTATATCCCAAGCATTTGCTGTCCCAGCTATATGTCCTAACTATATGTTTCAACTATGTCTCATATATGTCCTAAATGTCCTATCTGTCCTATTAATGTCCCATCAGTGTCCCATCAGTGTCCTAACTATGTCTCATAACAATACTGCAAAGCGGTATAAACCCGTTTCCTATTCAGAACTTAAGCTTAAATTTAAAGAGTTTGTTTTAGACTATCAGTATTAAACGATTTTAAGTAATGCAATACTTATTGAAAAAGCTAAAATAATTGCTGATAGATTAAGGATTCCTAGGATACATTTAAATTTTCTTCAGAATAGCTTCAGAAGTTTAAGGATTGCAATAGAATTTGTTAACAAAAGCTTGAAAGAGAAGCTTCATGCTGATGAAATTACCATTGCTAATGTTCTGCCTTTATTAAGAAAATGTTGCTTCTAATACCCTTTCAAAAGAATCTATAATATGAACGAAACTGGATTATTTTATAGGTAAAATTTTTAGTGATACAAATTAAAAGAACAAAAAAGTTAAGAAATATACTTATCTTGCATGGTTACAGGTTAGAATTTGATTGAATGCTTGCAACTAAATATCTTGCTAGACATAAAACAAATAAGGAATACCTCTTAATCGCATTATATGTAAATACTAATGGATCACACAAGTTCAAACCCTTAATAATCGGCAAATATAAAAAGATCACATTATTTTAAAAATATAAGGATTCATAGTATGCTTATGGTCAGTGTTGTATATTTTTTATGTCCAAAGCATTTTAAGAATATCCAATACTATGTTTAAATGTCTAACAGTATGTCTAAAATATTGTCTAAGAATATTCTGTGACAATATTATCTATAATATATCGCAATAATGCTAAAACCTAAATTATCACATCACTTTTTCAGAAATGAATTCAAGAATTTGATCATCAAGTTGGTTTAAAGTATCAAGGCCAACACGTATTACTTCTACTTGACAATTATTTTGGTCATAAGTTAGTCAGTCTTACCTTACAATATACTGATTTCATTTTTTACCTCCAAACATGATTTTGAAAATCCAACTGATAGATGCTGGAATCATCATGACTTTTAAAAAATATTATTATCGTCTTCATATACAGTAAGATTAAATCTACAAATAAATATATTGTATAATATAATAAGCATTCAAGATCTAATTACCTATTTTTTTAAAAGCTTAACGTTAATGCTTCAACATGTTAAATTAGGTAATCACATGAAAGACTTATGTATAGATGTTTTGCAAGTATTTCAGTTTATTATTCAAGCCTGAGATGAGGTAAAATTTGATATAATTCATAACTGTTGGTATTATACAAAGATTCTTCCCATTCATATCAATGAAAAAATGGATTTGAGAAATATATCATAAGATAAAAACTCAGTACTTAATGATATTGCAGATGCACTTGAAGCTCTTAATTTTTCCTATCAAATGCAGTTAGAAGAGTTTCTTAATATTCCTGAAGAGAATATTATTTACAAAGTTCTTGAAGATGATCGAATCATTGAAGAACTTGTTTATTTTTTTAAAAATAATGATAAGGAAAATGTAGACTTAGAAGAAATGGATGACAGCCATGAAATTCCTGTTATTAGTACTAATACTGCAGTAGCTAGTTTGAAAACTGTACATATGTATCTACTTCAATAGGACAATGTAGAAAAATATGTAAAGTTAGTGAAAAAAATCAAAAAGTTCTTTAAAGTTAAAAAAACAAGCTTAATATGACAAACTAACATTAATTAAAGTAATACTTAGCTTTTTAAATTGGTATTTTATCAAAATATTTTTGAAACTTAAAAATTTTTAAATAAATGCGTATTAATAATTTTTCGTAATTTTATTTCTTTTTCTATTGGCTATTCTACAAGTGTATACCTTAAATGTATTATAATTGGTCACTAGAGGGTACATTTATGAAGGTGTTACTGTATTATTAAATTATAGACTTATAGCTTGATCTTTTTCTTAGTTTAAACTTAGTATTAAGATAAAATAGCTTGTATTAATTTAATATAGTTGTTACTTTATAGTACTGATTATAATATTCCTTTTATAAAATACCTTCATTGACAAATATCAGGTATTATTCAAATCTAGATTTTAATAAATTATTAAATAAGCCAATTAGATTTCAATATTAAATATCTTAAGGAAAATGCCAATTTAAAGCGATATTATTTAATAAATTAAATAGTAATAAAACTTCTCAAAAACAAATGAAAAAGATCGACAATAAAAATAATGCTCGTTACTCGTTCAACTTTAGCAAAGAAAAATCAAAGAACTTACAATAAAAACAAATGAACTAACTCCTCTAACGACAGTGAAACTTTCAGCCCTACTTCTCAAATACTTAAAAACTACGAAATTATTTCTACTTTAAAAAAGCAAAAAACGATTCACTACCCAACAACCAAGAAACAACTATGGATATTCATAACGTTATTGAAAAAATAATCCTCAGTAACGATATTTCTTCTAATATGACTTCACTACCTACTAACGTCTTCTCTACTGTTGCTTCACCCCTTGAAATGGATGTTGATATATCTTCAAATACCATTATTAACCCTGCTCCTACACCACTACTGAAACTAACTACCAACGATTCTATATACGCAAACTTTAATGAAGATAATATATTCGTCGATACTGGTTTCGATTACATCCTCCCTCTAACTAACAAAGGCAAATAATGACAATCATGGTCTGATGAAGTCGAAAAAACAGAAAAACTACGTGACCAAGAACCAAAAGAAGTCTCTTTCAATATCATCACTACTCCTACGCGTTTCTACGCAACTGATAATGCATCTGACGTTAAAGGCAAATCTGTAGCTGAAAAGCACACTTTTATTAACTCCTTATTTATTCACTTCGACAGGTATCAAGGTTCAACATATATTTCCAAATTTAGAAAGTTCTTTGTTTATTTCAAATTGATGGACTCCTTAAACATGCTCTCACAAAAATGCAGGAAACACAACACAATCCTATTTTTACTATCATCGATCCTGCTGTGAAACAACAATGACAAAATGCCGAAAAAGGCAGAAGAATCAAAGTCTCTGACATTCTGCTTTTTACCAAATCAGATGTAGTACAAAATTATTTATCAAATATGGAAAGATCTCTTGTTTCTTCATGATTATCAGATAACATTAACAAATCGCCTTTATTGTATTTGAAAATCCCGAATCTATCAAACAATTTTATGATCAAGTGTAGTCTGTTTCCTTTTTGGAAAACTTCTTGAGAGTTGAACTGACCGACCTCAACCCTTCACAAGTTGCTCTCAGACAACAGTTTGAACTAAAACTTACTGGGTTACCCTATAATACTGATCAGAGGCAACTTATTGATTTTCTCGTTCATATCAAAGCAAAATCTTGTTTTATACCACGTGACCAGTAATATCGCCTTCGACCATATGCTTTTGTAAATTTTGCCAATAATGATGATCTTACCTCTGCTGCCAATCAATCTCAAAAATTCAAAGGCAAAGTACTTTACTGGATTAAACCATTAAAAAAATATTGCAGAATTTGTGGTGTCCCTGACCATGAACTAAAGAATTGTACTAATCGTAAACCAGCTAATCCTTATAAACCTTTGTATGATCGCTTCAAGCCAGAGCAGTATAGACCGCTAAGATTCTTTCAATCAACCAATCCAGGTCCACATAGATCTTTCTTACAAGTATTACAAAATGAAAAAAATGGATCCCACGATAACAATCCTTTCAACGATAAAAAGAATAACAATAATGTTTTGCCCTAAAAATTCCTCCAAATACTACTGATGCTTTTAAATTCATCCAAGAGAAATTAGATCATATCGAAAACAAACTCACTCTCATCAATGATGAAATAATCTCTTTAAAAAATTCTATCATCAAATATGAGCAAAACTAGAAGGACATTAACTTTCGTTTGAATTGACTTGAATATATGTATTATATTGAACATGATCCAAAACAAATCGATAATCCAAATTACGAATTTCCTCTTTACAATGGTGAAGAAGAAATGGAAATAACTCCTGTTACTCCTGCCGTTCAGGCTGAAAATAATAAAGTTTCGTCTTCCTCAAACTCTTCGATCAACATTCTTCACCCCCAAATGATCCATTTACAAAGAATTGACTCAGTTGAATCTTCAGTTAATGATATCAAATCTGAAATTCATTCAATTTCGTCCGTTTTACACACTCTCACCCAAACTCTCTCTTCTAATGATTTATGAGTGTACATAAAAGCAACATCCCAAATGATATTCCAACCCTATAAGAAATCGAAATAAGGAAATGATACGTTTTTTATAAGGTTTGTATACGTAATTAATGATTCTATAT